GCCCCTACAGGTCTCTGGTCAGGATTGATAGTCTGTGTCTTCTTTCAAGCCCTTTTCTACTTGGTGTACATCTTGCGGATAAACTGGAACAGAGTTGCAGAGCAGGTAACTGGTAATACTAGAAATGTGGCTCTACGTGAGCCTGTGATTCCAAGGCAGGGTACGGAAGCTTTTAGGGTCAGAGTGATAGCAGTGCCCTTGGCAGTGGGACTTACTGTGAAACGTGAAATCTATCGAATATTGAGGGGAGAGGAGGCAGAAAAAAAATCACATTTAGTATCTACTAACTAGGAACTCCGTCTTAATAAAGAAGGAGTTAAGTTTAAAAACATCTTGCTCTTTTGGTGGAATAGCCCTAGAAAAATATTCTTTACAGCCTTTTCTTTTTTGTCCGTGGTTTACTAAAATGCAGCATGTTAGGGGTGTGATTTATGGGCAGAACCACACTGTGTGCACAGAAGTCGGAGCCTTGACCAACGTGAGCATCTGTGCATTGAGTTGGGGCCCTTTTTTACTGTTCTAGGCTTGAGATGAGGTGGATGGGTGGAGGTTTAGGGGAGGGAGGGGTTCTAATAAGGTTAGGTGGCCAGCTGTCTTTGTTTCAGCTTTGAGCAGCCTAGGTTTCAGATCCTACTGGATTTGCCCAGTTTTGATGCATGATGTCTTTTCTATCTGCAGTTTCATTTATTAGGACTGAAGTTTATAGGAGATTAAGGTGGACCATAAACTACCCATTGGACAGAGGACACCACTGACCTTAGATTTTATTGCTTTTATCTACATGTAGGGGCACTAAAGGGCACAAGTGTGAACAGTGTGTTAAATCTGCAACTCCAGCAACAAGCAGGGTTTTTTTTTCCCTCAATTTATTGCCTTCAATATTGTGCTGTGACGTCACAGCTCACAGCAACCTCCAGCTCTTGGGCTTAGGTGATTCTCTTGCCTCAGCCTCCAGAGTAGCTGGGACTACAGACACTGGCCACAACGCCTGGCTATTTTTTTGTTGCAGTTTGGCCGGGGCCAGGTTTGAACCCCCCACCCTGAATATATGGGGCCAGTGCCTCAACGACTGAGCCACAGGTACCGCCCAGCAAGCAAGTTTTTATATCATTGGGCTCTGCCCAATGTCACCTTCACTCGAAAATGATTGTCTCTTTGCTTCTTGTTGGCCCTCCCATCCCTGCAGGGGATACAGGCTCCCCAGGGGCTCCTAGCCGATCTGTCAGCTCAGTTCTGTATCTCAGCCAGTTATAGCAATACCTGGCACAAAACTGGAGTCAGTCAACATTTGTTAACATGAAGCAGCAGAGACGTTTGCTGGTGGTGTTGACTGAAGAATTACCCTTTGGTGCAAGAAAATCAAATCGCCAATATTTTCACTTTTCTTTTTTTTTTTTTTTTTTTTTTGGATGCCTTTTAGCACTGCCTTCTTGGCCTTCATTGCCTTTGTTTTGGCTTTGGCTTTGGGAGGGGCAGGAGCTTC